ATACCTTTTCGCCAACGAAGGTGTCGAAAAACCATATAAATCCATATGATATGAAAAGAAGCGAGCGTCGAATCAGAGTAAGTTTTGCAAATAAATCCTTAACGAAAGTCTAAAATATAAATTCTACTTTAATTGCTTATGCAATATAACTCCTAAGCCATAATCGGCAGAGAGGTTTTCATTAACTGACATGCCTTGTTTGGTTAGTTGGGCCGAAGTATGGGCCACACTCGACGCTAAAATCGCAATTAAAATGTCGCTCGGTTGACAAAACAGGCATAGATACCGTTGCAAGGAAGTCAGTACAAATTGTATCCTTTGACGTTTCCTTGTGAAAATTGCCAACTTTAGGACGTGGCATGTAATAATGGAGATACGAAGAGATGTGGTTGGAGCCTCAAAAATACCAAATGGGCTACCTCGGTCATTCAAGGGAAGGCCTTCAAGTAAATAAGGATTCATCAAATGGCTCCATTGATATTTCACCAGCAGGTGTTATTCACGGTCTTTTCCTAGTCCCTCAAAAAAAGGACGCTCGTTGCAAAAACTAGTGTCTTTCAAAGCGAAAACTCGTAGCATAATTAAGGGCTTAGACATGAAGACGCTCGACTAACACCGCACAGAATTATGAGGAAAAACTGGGTTTCGAAGAATTCCTTAATAAAATATTGTGGCATGACTCTCCATTTCGAAGAGAAAGTTGGTCGGAAGGAATTCGTGATGCGGTCTCATCGGAAACCGAAGGAGGATTGCCGCGTAGGGGAGATTGTTTAATTGTGCGAAGAAGAAGATTACATGTTTTACGAAATAGAGCAAAAATATACCAAACCAAAATTATTTTCTGCAGGGCGATCCTTCTTCTGTTTCTGGTGAGAACACAGCACAAATTCCTTCAAACCAACTTTCCCTTCAAAGCGGTGAGTCATTCCGCAATATCGCACAAAAGTGACTGTTGTTGCGGTATGGTGGACTTTACAAGAAGATTTACATGAGGATTTCATCCTCTCATAAGCCCTTGTAAACCTGCTCACCACGAGTGGCCTGCTGCGGTGGCAGGACCAAATGGCCAAATTTCGCTCTTGTGTGCTCAGGTAGGCATTTGGGTTAGATCGGAGGCTGAACCTCTTCCGATCCTGGACATGAGGCAGCCTATTTCATCAATCGGTACCGGCCCCTTCCTCAACATCCGCGGGTAGGAGAACCAGGCTTAAGAAAGATAGCCACCAACTCAGTCACTTTGACAAACTATTTTGTCAAATGGTGCTGTCTAAAAAGTTGTACATAAATTTTATTTCATCACTTTTATGTTTGGTTGTGTTAAGTCTATTATAGAAATTTGTTGACCTCGTTGTCGCAACTTGGTCTTGTTGTCAGGGCGACTTAGTAGAACGCATCCAGTCCGAAGTCGTCTGCCATTTTAGTTGTCATGATTCCCAGCATCAGACAGGGGACTTGGTACATTCTCAAACGTTTCGCCGGCATCATCAGTCAGTTTTGCCATTCGCTGCACCAAGCTACGAACTCGTCAAAGAGACAAATGTAGCCAATCCCTCGATCTTGTAACCGTTTTTCGCAGAACGTTTGTCGACTATGATGCCGGCGAAACGTTTGAGAATGTACCAAGTCCACTGTCTGATGCTGAGAATTATGACAACAACTATGACAGACGACTTCGGACTAGATGCGTTCGACTAAGTCGCCCTGACAACAAAACCAAGTTGCGACAACGAGGTCAACCCATTTCTATAAATCGAAAGGAGACTGCGACCATAACAGAGGCCATGACATCTTGGTCTTCATATCTTCAATTAAGTTATTCGATGATTTGTGAAGAAAGTTGTGTCTAGTGTAGAGAGTTTTGTTTTACTTTTTATTATTCCTTCAATGAGTATCTATTTTTCTTTATTTCCTATTTATTTGTTATTTATTTTTTTATAGTAATGTGACACTTTCTTGATGTTTCTTTATGTATTTCTTACTTTTGGGTGGTCTCAAATCGGCTTGGCAACACGCTTAAGTTGCGATACAGAGGTTTAACCGACTCAGATTCCCCATTTTGTAGGTCAACAAATCTCTCCATATACTTCAAAGCTCCAAGAATTCAGGATAAATAGAATGAATATGGGTGCTTTTGCCATGGCCATGTGTCGACCGAAAGTATTCACATACACTTTTGCTAAAGGTTAGTGTTAAAACAGCCCCCTTGTACATTTTCCTTCTCCCTTCACTTACTTTTAGGTCATGTTGAAACAGTCACGAAACGCATTACTTACAAGGCGTCTTACTTTATTATTCTCTCGTCACGAGAAAGTTTGGGCCAATTTAGATTCTATAGATGTGGGACTATATGGCCGATATGCGATGCTACACAACAAGAAGAACAATTTGGAAACTACTTCACATTTCACGTTTTAACTCAATCACCTCCCACCATGTTCGTCCTGTAACCAAGGCTAATTTTCTCTCAGATAAACCAAACATTTCACGTGATAGCAAAAAAGTCATCGCGACACTGTGTGATCGGAGTATACACCACATGGACATTTCGCAATTTACTTGTTCTGGACTTCATATTCAGAAAAGGGGTTTTAGTCTTACT